GCGAGCGGTGCTGGGCTAGGTTCGTGATCTATACGTGTCCATATTAGAAAACGGCATCGGCCCTTACCGATCGATACCCGTAGCTATCGGACTAACTACCGAGCTATAACTCGATATATGGATATGCTGGTACCACTAGCAACATGCATATCGATCGAACTATCGCTATACGCATCTGTATACACACGTATACGTACCTCTATGTATGTATCCAGAGCTGTTATACATACACACGCACCGATGGAAGATTACTCACTACTCACTACTCACTATCCCGAGGCCAGACCCCCCCCCTTGCGGGAGAGGACCCCTCTCCGGTCCCCTGTTCGGCGCAACAAACCCCCCCTTCCCACTTTCCAGCGCCAAGTGGGGGGGGGGGCGAGCGGGGGGGGGGTCGGACCCCCCCTTTCGCTTAAAGGGGGGAAGGGAGGGGGGGAGCGAAAATCCCACCCCCCCTTTGAAGGGGGGAGGGGGGGGGGGGTTCTGCGAGCACGCGCCCCCTTGTCAATTACAAGGCGATCCAGTGGCGCGCTTTACAAATGCGCCTCATAAACTGCAACGCGCACCTGCCCATTTTCAACAAGAAAGAATCCGGATATCCAGCCGCCATCGCCCCCCAGGTTATCCGTTCGGCCCCGCGATGTGCAGTTAAGATATGATTCGCATGCACCACCGTTCTTTTCAAATAAACGAATGTATAGTTTAACCCAGCCACGCTGCCATCGACCAACCCCCTTCATCCTCGTCGCATAATACCATGCCCGCGCACCCGTCGATTCAAACACATCTATATTTAAAACCCTTCGCCACCAGAACAAAACGAAGTGCACGCGCGAGCGCTAGCGCGGCCGCATGCCGAAATCACGCAATAATAACGCTGATGCGTCGTAGGGATTTCAACATCGGGTGTCCCGCGAAAAGATGCGAACGCTGGATTTGTAACATGGTGTTTTAGCAAAACAAATTCGCGCGCGCCCCATGCGAATGCAAGACAAACGCTAATTTTTATGCGTCGTCATCCAATGCGGCCTAACGGGGGCGCCCCGCGCGCGCATGTCAAATCACGCGAATGCCCTTGCACGCTTGGGGGGGGGGCGCGCGATCCTAATGAAATAATAAACCGCGGGCCACTCGAGCGCGCCGGCCGGGCACGCATGCCGAAGTCCTTCCAAAACCGTCGTCGCCGACGCGTAGACGCCATCGTCGTCGTCGTCGTCGGCATGGTCAGCATCGGCGCCGTCATTGGCATTGCCGAAACGTTGTCATCATCGCCACCAGCTCAGCATTATCACCATCCTTTGACGCTGTTGACGCAGCCGCGATACCGCGCCCGCCCGAGCCACCGACTCGCACAGAAGTGCCCGCGCGTCAGCGCGGCCTGCGAGACGCGCTAGGGAGTGACCAGCGGCCAGCGCAATCGCGGCCGCGTCGGTCGCGACAGACTGGCGGGCCACTCTGCGCGCGAGCCTGCGCGCGCTAGCGCGGTAGCGGCGACGCGCAGGCTAGCGCCGAGGAGTCATCGCAATCACCGCCGCGCGGGCCGCGCAAACCAGGTTGCGGACAGGTGGGCGGGGCGGCCCCGCCAGCAGCGACGTTGGCAACGCCAACTTCGGCAGGGCGATTTGCGCGGCATTTATGGCGCCACATGGATTGCATTACCTAGATTGCACCGCGTAGATTGCACCGCATACTTTGCGCGGCACGCACGCACCAGAAAGAGGGCAGATATCCTCTCTTCTAAAGGCGCATTCGGATCCCCCTCGCCCCCCGCCCCCCCCTCCAAAAAAAAATCCCTGGTTTCCGCATTACTATCTACATGCGAGTTCGCCCCATCGCCCATCATGCATTTTCATTCGCACCACCCCAACCAGACCAGCACCGCCCCCCTCTCATACGGTGCGCGCACACTCGTATCTCCTTAATCAAACTGCGTCAAATCCCGCAAACAACGGGGCGACATGCACGCGCGCGCGTCGCCGCGCGCGCGCGCCAAAATCCTGTCGAACGCTGCGGGTTCGGCATGGGTTTGAACATCCATTGCCGCGAGTGGCTACTCGGAAAAAACTAACAATGATGTCGCAACAGGACGTTTCAAAAAGCGTGCGCTCGCGCGCATGCGCAATCTGACGAGAACCCGAAAGGTTTTCAACATTGTCAATGCATGCGACCAAATGGGCCTGTCGCGCGCGCGCGTGTGTGCCGAAATCGCGCGAACGCCCTCGCGTGCCAACAAAAAAAAAAAAAACGCCATCGCGCGCGCCGCAATGTTGCGCGCAGATTTTTTTGTAAAAATAATATTTTTTAATATATATATATATATATATATATATATATATATATATATATATATATATATATATATATATATATATATATACTAGAAAAGATTTGTTTTTTTTTTTTTTTTTTTTTTTAAAAAAAAAAAAAAAAAAAAAAAAAAAAAAAAAAAAAAAAAAAAAAAAAAAAAAAAAAAAAAAAAAAAAAAAAAAAAAAAAACGAATGCCCCCGAAACCATAAAAACACGCGGCGTTGCAACATCAGTGTTCTTCGTTTCTCTTTCTATTTTTTGACGTAGGAAAAAAGCTGTGCCCGCTCTGGCGAATTCTTACGAAAACCATGGGCTGTGCAACATTATCACTCATTTCTGCCAGACGGGCTTTTCGCGCCGCATGTCGAACTCACCCGAGCGCCCTCGCGCGCGCGCTGGGGGGGGGGGGGGGGGGCGCGATCCGCGTCGATCAATGCCGCGCGGGCCACTCGCGAACGTCGGCCGCGCGCGCGCGCCGAACTCTTTCCAAAACGCCCGTCGCCGACGCGAGGACATCGTCATCGTTATCGGCAGGCGTGGTCCACATCGGCACAGCCATTGGCCTTGCCGTCGTCAACGCCGCCGTCGCCGCCGTCGTCGCGACGCTCACCGTCGCGCCCACCGCCGTCGGCGACGCCATGGTACCGCGCCGGCCCCAGTAACCGACTCGCACTGGAAGGCCGGGTTGGATGCGCCGGGCGGTCAGCACTACCGCGGCCGCGTCGGCCGCGCCGCGCTAGCTGGCCGCGGCGCGCGCGAGCGCGCGCGGGCCAGCGCGGCCGCTGAGGTGCACCAGCCAACGCCAAGCACCCATCGCAGTCGCCGCCGCATGAGTCTTGCAAACCAAGTTGCGGGCGGGCGGGCGGGGTGACTGCGCGAGCAGCGGAGATGACAACTCAGCGCGGTCAGCGGCGAATTCTCGCATTAAAATGCGAGCATCCCCCCCCCCCCCCCCCCCCCCCCCCCCCCCCCCCCCGACTTCATCGCCCATCCCGCTGCAATTTGCAAAAGATTTTGCCCCATCGCCAATCCGAAATGTGACTTCGCATCGCCCGAGCCAGAAAGGCGCCGCCCCCCTTCCCCCCGGCAAGAAGACCTCCCGCGCGCGCACTCGCTCTACAAAATTCACAAATTTCGAAAATCCTTCTGCCCCCAAAACGGGGGGGGGGACAACAACAAAACAAAACAAAACAGGAAAACTACAAAAAAAAACTGCGCGCGCGTCGTCGCGCGCGCACCGAGACCCCCCCGACACTTTTGGTTTCGCATGGACGTCAATTTCGAGCGCCTCGACAACACACAGAAAGCACATGGCTTCGCAACAAGAAATCCCAAAGACAAGCTTGCGCTCGCGCTCGCGCGAATCCTGAAGGGAACCGCGAGGTGTTCCAACACTTACATTGAATGCGACTGGGTGGGCCCCGTCGCGCGCGCGCGTCGAGACCATTCGAACGCCCTCGCGCGCGCGCCGTCGCAACGCCCACCCGCGCGCGCACGCGCGCGCACGCGCACGAACGCGCCAAACAAAATCGCTACGAAGTGCACGCGCGTGCGTCGCAACGCGCGCGCGCGCGGAAATCCTTCAACAAAAACCTATGATGTCGCGAGGATTTCCAAATCGAGTGGTCCGAAAACACATCAAAAGCACATGGCGTTGCAACGAATATTTTCAATCCAGAGAAAAATGGATTTGCCACGCCGCGCGTCGACATCATTCGAACGCCCTCGCCCGCGTGATGAAGGGGCGCGACCCGTGTCAAATGCTGCCGCGCGGGCCGCTCTCGCGCGTCGACCGCGCGCGCATCTCGAACTCCCCTCAAAACCTGCACCCCTTACGCGAGGGCGCCATCGTCGTCGCCAGCATCGGCGCCGTCACTGGCCGCGCCGTCGCCGTCGCCATCATCGTCACCACCGTCACAACTATCGTCATCGCGTCTACCGTTGTCGACGTTGCCATGATGCCGCGCCCGCCAACATGGCCGACTCGCACTGAAACGCCCGCTGGGAAGTGCCCAGAGGTCAGTGCCACCGCGGCCGCGTCGGTCGCGCCGCACTTGCTGGCCGCTGCGCGCGCGAAAACTCGCGGGCTAACGCCGCCGCAGAGATGCACCAACCAACGCGGAGCACGGGTCACAATCGCCGCTGCGTGCGTGTCGCAATTAAAAAATAGCGGGTGGGCGGGTGGAATGATTGCGCGAGAAGTGGAGCTGCACCACATCGGGGGTTGGGGGCGAGATCGCCGTGGAACGGAAACCCCCAACCGGGAAAACGTTTCCTTTCGTTCGTGTCGAGCGTGCGGGCGGGGCGAAGCTGCGTGGGCGCGCGAGAAGAATGAACCCGCCGCTGCTTGGGCGAAGTCAAAACCAACGATTATCCCCCTCCCATCTGGCGGTGGCTCGCGGTGTCCCGCGGTGCCCCGTGGCGTCCTGTTGTTAAGGCGAAGTCAATACAAATGATTATCCCCCTTCCGTCCGGCGGTGCCTCGCGGTGTCCCGCGGTGTCCGCCGCTGCCACGGCGGAATCGAAACAAATAATTATCCCCCGCCCGCCCGTCCGTCCGTCGGTCCGGCGGTGGCTCGCGGCGTCCCGCGGGGTCCCGTTGTGCCCCGTGGCGCCCCGCTGCTAGGGCGAAGTCGAAACAACTGATTGTCCCCCTCCCGTCCGGCGGTGGCTCGGGGTATCCCGCGGTGTCCCGTGGTGTCCGCCGCTTCAAAGGCAAACTCAATACAAATGATTCTCCCCCGCCGGACCGTCTGGCGGTGGCTCGCGGTGTCCCGCAGTGTCCCGTGGTGTCCCGTGGTGTCCCGTGGCGTCCGCCGTTGCAACGGGGAAATCAAGACAAATGATTCTCCCCCGCCCGCCCGTCCGTCCGTCCGTCCGGCGGTGGCTCGCGATGTCCCGCAGTGTCCAGTGGTGTCCCGAGGTGTCCCGTGGCGCCCCGCTGCTAGGGCGAAGTCGAGACAACTGATTATCCCCCTCCCGCCCGTCCGGCAGTGGCTCGCTGTGTCCCGCGGTGTCCCGGGGTGTCCCGTGGTGTCCGCCGTTGCTAGGGCGAAGCCAAGACAAATGATTATCCCCCTCCCGCCCGTCCGCCAATAGCTCGCGGTGTCCCGTGGTGTCCCGTGGGGTCCCGTGGTGTTCCGTGGTGTCCCGCGTTGTCCCGTTGAATGAGATCGATCGTGAAATCGATAGTGTGATCGATAGTGATATCGATACTGAGATCGATGTGGTGCCCCGTGGTGCCCCGTTGAGCGCAATCGATAGTGAAATCGATCGTGAAATCGACAGTTGTCCCGTGGTGTCCCGTTGAATGAGATCGATAGTGAGATCGATGGTGGGATCGATACTGAGGTCGATGTGATGCCCCGAGGTGTCCCCGTGGTGTCCCAAAAATGGAATCGATAGTGGGATCGATAGTGAAATCGTCAGGCGTCCCTTGGTGCCCCGCTGAGTGAGATGGATGGCCAGATCGATACTGAAATCGACAGTGAGATCGATGTGGTGTCCCGAAGTGTCCCGTGGTGTCCCGTTGAATGAGGTCGATCGTGGGATCGATGGTGAGACCGATCGTAAGATCGAGAAGTGTCTCGCTGAATGAAATCGGTAGTGAGATCGATTGAATCAAATGTTGGTTCCCCCCTCCCCCCCTTACAACCTCCTTATCACCCGAATGGTGGTCGTACAGGTAGGTTGCACCATATACATATTCCCGTTCCTAAGAGGGTACTCGCATCTCCCCCCGAATTGAAGCCCACCACTTCGTATTGCAAATGACATACGATTGCGCCCCGTCGCCCATCCAAAATATGAACTCATAATCCGTCCCAGCCAGGCCGGCCGGCATCGGCACCCGCCCTCATCCTCACACGCACTCGTTCATCCCAACTCGTCGATCACAATTCATTATTTCAAAATTCCGCTGGTCAGAAATGAAGCAAAACACAAATGCGTCGGAAAATTAATTGTAAAAAAAAGCTTGCGCCCGGGCTCTTGCGAATTCTCGCGTAAACCATGGATGCTTCAACCTTTCATAACTTACCACCAAACCTGCCTCTCGCGCGTGCACGTCGGAATCGCTCGAACGCCCTTGCGCGCGTGCTGTCGCAAGAAGCCCCTGCAAAAAACAAACGGGACGAAGTGCACGCGCGCGCGTCGTCGCGTACGCATGCTGAATCCTTCAAAAACTCTTGGTGTAGTAAGGATTCCGAAATCAAGCGCCTGAGAAAAACAAATGGAAACACATGGTTTTGCGACATCTGTGTTGGAAAGAATGCCTGTGCTCGCGCCCCTGCGAATATTCAAAGAAACAATCGATGTTCAACATTGACATCAAACTCGGCCAAACGAACCTCTCGCGACGAACATCGAAATCACTCGAACGCCCCTGCGCGCGTGCTAGGGAGGGCACGTCCCGTGTCAAATGCTACCGTGCGGGCCATCTTGGCGCGTCGACCGCGCGCGCATGTCGAACTCCCTCCAAAACCTTGTATCACCGACGCGAAGGCGCCGTTAGCGTCGCGGCGTGATGAGCATCGGCGCCGTCACTGGCCTTGCCGCCGTCGTTGTCATCATCGTCACCAACATCGCCACCATCATCATCGCGTCTACCGTTGTCGACGCTGCCATGATGCCGCGCCCGCCAAAGTCGCCGACTCGCAGCATGGCGCCAGGGCTGCCTAATTTGGCGATGCAGCCCGCCATGTATGGATCGAAACGGGACCCGGCGCTAGTCGACGCGCCTTCATCCATGGTTGCGCTTCCTTGACTCCCACGCTCCGCCACACTCTCATTCCTTCATGCTACCCTCCACATTCACCTCCTAGTCATTGTCGTCGTCGTCGTAATGGTCCTCGTCGTCAATTTCGTGCTTTTGCACGGGAAAATGAACGGCAAGAACAAGGAGAGGTGGCGTTCCGTGCCTCTTGTGGGTTTAGGTGTTCTCAGGGGGGGCAGGAGGGCAGGGGAGGCCCAAGGGAGTTCGTGGTGGGGTCAAAGGGCCCCACCTTGACGTCGACGTGGTCGCCATGGTCGTCGTCATGATCCTCCTCCTCCGCCTTCGCACCCTCCTGCTCTTCGCTCCTCATGGTCCCTCCTTGAGGGTGCCCCCCCCACCCGTCCTTCGTCTTGACATACAGGGCCTTGCCTTGGAGCGTCTTTCCGTTGATCGCCACGAAGCCCTTGACGTGCAGCGCCTCCGAGGGAGGACGAAAAAACACAAAACAAAGACCAAGAAGCACACACACAAAAGCAACTACTAAAAAAACACAAACGAGACAATCAAGGCACCTTGCAGTGGAAGGACAGCGCGCGCTGGCGATCGCGCCTGCCTGAGCCCAGCGCCCGCGCTCGCTGAGCCCAGCGCCTGGGCCACTCAGCTTCGCTGCTCGCGCTGCGCGGAGCGCGAAAAGCAGTCACCTTCGCGCTCGCGCGAAACCTTTGGAGACTGATACAATCAAACCAAGGCCAAAAAAACACCCTTCAGGAACATGAGACCCTCCGTCGGATAAAGCAAACAAAACATCCGAGGGTACCATCCCCAGGATGCACAAGAACATCCAACAAACACGAAGAACACGAGGGTACCCTCCCCGAACCGACCTCGACCTTACATATCGGTCCGATTGTAATTCCCTTGCCGAGGCCGCGAAGCGAAAATAGCGATCCATCTTCGCGCCCTGGCGGGACGTGCAATTCAATGACGTGCCTCACGGGCTGCACGCGCGCTGGCGGAGGGATAGGCTGGACAACGAGCGCGCCTGGCGCATCCGACACTCCCAGGGCGGAATTGATTAAGTTCGGGGCTCTGGGGAGATAGTAGAGTTTAGCAACTTCGAGTCGTGCTTCCCCCAGCGATAATGGAGTTGTTCGGCCCCGCCGCCCCTTTCCCCCGACCAACTCTCTTTGGCCTGGGATCATCAACTTTCAGGGGTTAAAGGGGGGATGCTTTATTATCTGGGCCGCTGGGTTAGTGACGAGGGCTCTGCACGTGGCCGACATCTTGACCGATCCGATCGTCCGTCGTCGACGGCCAAAAGCAGATCCGGATCCGCGGCATCTTGACCGATCCAATCGTCCATCGTCGATGGCCAAAAACAAATCCGGATCCGCGGCCTTACGGGCCGGGCCCCTGGGCCGCGACACAACGGGCATGGGGTGCTTCTTCGCGGATGCTCCGCGCGGCACGTGCTAGTATCCAGGCGTCCGCGTGTGCGCGGGATCGCGCCCCGAAATCCAGACCGCGAGGGCGTGGATATGCATACGTTCACCGCACGTGGCACCACTGCAACTGCGGGGTTACCGACAGATGGGGGATATCGGGTGACATCGGGTGCTGCCAGAAGTGTCCCTGGCCCAAGGTGCCTCCTTCGCCTCCTCCTCCTTCTGCTCCTGCTCCTCCTCCTCCTGCTCCTCCTCCTCCTGAACCTCCTCCTCCTCCTACAGCTCCTGCTCATGCTCCTCCTCCTCCTCCTCCTGCTCCTCCTCCTCCTGCTCCTGCTCCTGCTCCTCCTCCTCCTCCTCCTCCTCCTCCTCCGCCTCTTCCTCTTCACCTCATGCCCGTGAGAATAAACACTAGGGGATAATAAAGTTCGGGGTTCAGGGAGAGATAATAAAAGTAGCCCAGCAGACCTCAGCATAATCTCGAAGTAAGAGATGATCAAGAGGAGACCAAGCCGAGCACGTTTTGAGACATCCTTGGCGTTTAGTTTTCATAGAAATATCCTCAACAATGGCTTATCTCGCTGGAGACATCCTCGACAAATCCCTTGTTTCGCTTGAGACATCCGCAAACTATTGCTTATTTCGCTTGAGACACAGTCAAACTATTGCTTATTTCGCTTGAGACATCCTTAAGAAACGCATCGTTTCGCTTCAGACATCTATATGCTTGTTTCGCTTCGGACATTCTCGAGTATATGCTTGTTTCGCTTGAGACATCCTCGGAATAGCTCATCCGCCTCGGCGTCCCTAGATAATCAACGGCGGCGATAATAAAGTTCAGGCGGGCGGAGGAATGGAGGAAGCTATTAATAAAAAAGAAAAATAAAAAGAATAAAGAATAAAAGATAAGAAATGATAGGAGGAGGAGAAGGACGAAGAGAAGAAACAATCTCGAGTTTAAATCTATTAGATTTTATTTACAAACGCTTTATGAACATTGTTTTTTGTAAGTGCTCGTGTAGGGTAGCTCATGTGCCTCAATTTCCATGGATAGTCAACCCCAGAGATAAAAAAGTTCAGGCGAGCGTGGGGACAGAGAGAACTATAAAAGAAGAAGAATACAGTAGAATAATAATAAGAAGAAGAAGAGGAGAATAAGAAGAGGACGAAGAAAGGAAAAATCCAAAGTTCCAAATCTATCAATTTTAATTTACAAACGCTTTATGAAAATTGATTGTTTAAAGTGCTCGTGTAGGGTAGCTCATGTGCTTCATTTTCCATGGACAATCAACCCCAGGGATAAAAAAGTTCAGGCGAGCGTGAGGACAGATAGAAATATAAAAGAAGAAGAGGAAAATAGAATAATAATAAGAAGAGAAGAAGAAGAGAAGAAGAATAAGAGAAGAAGAACGGAAAAATGGAAAGTTCCAAATCTATCAATTTTAATTTACAAACGCTTTATGAACATTGATTTTTTTAAGTGCTCATGTCAGAGATAAAAAAGTTCAGGCGCGCGCGGGGATAGATACATATATAAAAAGGAAGATAATACAAAAAATATAAATAAAAAGAAAAAAACTTGCTGGTTTAGCTTGAAACATCCTTGAGACATCCTTGAAACATTGCTCGTTTCGTTTGAGTCTGCCTCCCAAAATTATTGGTTTCGCTTGACACATCCTGAAAAAATGTGATCGCTTCGCTTGATGTTGCTATATCAACATCGCTTGATGTTGCTATCTCAACATAGCGTTTCGAGGTGATAATGAAGTTCGGCCTCAGCGCTCGCCGCCCAATTTGAATTTTGTATAGGGCGACGATAATCAACTCTAAACACTGAAGGGGGGGGGTCCCTTTATTATCATCGGCATGCGGTTACTTCTCATCCTTCTCCTCCTACTCCTCCTCCTGCTCATCATCCGCCTCTTCCTCGTCCTCCTATTCTTCCTCCTCCTCATCCTCATCCTCCTTTCGGCCTGCTTAGCTGGCGGTAGCCCAGAGGGCCATCGGGGGGCTCCAAAAGAGAAAAAAGAACTCCTGACATCTCGGGCCAAGACCATTTCGATCAACACCGGAACATACCGTGCTGGCACCGCTTGGCCAGAACGAGGTGGTACGATGCGGAAGGGATCGAAGCTGCATGAGGTGTGCTGCTGGATCCAACTGCTGAAGCGCGGCATCCTGTTGCAAAGACTGGCTGGCCAGAAGCAACGACACAGACTACTGATGGCTTCTGCCAGAGATCCTGGAGACTGCCGCGGGCTATGGTGCTGTGAGCACGCGCGTAAACATGGAGTTTGCATGACAACCCAAATGTGCCTGAGTGGACTGAGGATTTCAGACATTGCCCTGCTTCGCAAACAAAGCTCTGCATTGAAGGATTAGCACGTCTGCTCTAATGAGCTGGCCCACGGTGGCCTCCTCGGGCTCGCACGTAGGGTCCTGCCCATCAGGTCCCGGCCTCAGTTGCCACTGGGTGGTGGCTGTCTGGAGGTGGATCACAGGGTACCGCCTGTTGGATCTCGACCTCGGCTGCCAGTTCAATAGCTTTCCAGCCCCTGCGCATGGGAGCCCGCCCACGGATGTCCAGAGAGTCCTTAGCTTTGCTTGCCACCGCGCTTGTGCTTCCAAGGAGGGCCTTCACCGCCCGCGGAGTCTTGACTGAACCGCACCCGCGGTGGCACCCAGGTGGGACCCACGGGGCCGAGCCCGAAGGGGCCCGGCCTTGTTGCTTCCGTGGCTGCTCCTGGTGGCCCACGGGCTCCCGCCAGCAAGTCTCAAGCCTCAGTTGCCCTGTCAGTCCCACGTCACCTCCGCCGCCGTTATTTGTGCTCACGTCGTGGGGCCTGGAGCAATCGACCCACTCTCACTGCAAGCTGTCCACCGCGGGCAGCTCTGCGGATGGTCCTGGGGACCTAAGATAGGGAGCCCACAAAGGACGTACGCGCCCAGCTATGTACATGAACGCGGCCCCTTGACCCGCGAGACCGGCCGCGTGATACGAATATCCGCCTCATGCGAAATCTCGAGGACAGCGTGGATTCATGTACGTGTACGTCCTTCGTTCGCTCCGGATAAGAGGGCACCCAGAAACCGCCATGGGGGAACCACCAGTCAGAAGCTGCAGTGATGTCTCTTGCACGCGTGAGCCTCACCGGCAAGGAGCACGGACCACCGAGTCTGGCGCGCCGTGCGGCTGCCTGTGGCGAGGCGGCGGCATCCTCACGGGAGAGCTCTGGGCAGAGCACTGCGGGTGGGACGGCCTCCAGGCCCCGACCGCAACACATCGAAGAGCTGCGCCTGCTCGTCCTCATTCTCCTCGGACACTACCATCATCACCACGACGAAAAAAACAATCGGCCACCGTGCCACCTGGCACGTTAAGGCGTGGAAGAATACCAGGGGCTGTCTGGTAGGGATTTTGAATTCCAGAAAGGGACACCCCTCCTCCCGACCGCAGAATCCACCCTGCATTCCGCGGCCAATTCCTTCATGCCCGCTCGAGGATGGAGCACTTCCAACACGGTAGCTAACGCATGAAACCTCATTTCATGTGCGCCCGCTGGAGGAGCGTGCACTTCCCGCACGGCTGCAAACTCCTAGACACCTCATCCAACGGGCACCCGCTCGAGGATCGTACACGTCCCGCATTCCCAGGCCATCAAGACGGCCCAAAATGCCGCCAAAAGGGCCCGAATGCACGGCCAAAGAAGCCTCCAAAATTGCCCAATTGGCTCCGAGAGGGTACCAAGATGGCCCAAGAGGTCGCACGGTGGCCACAGAGACATCCAAGATGGATCCCAGATGGCCCAGGCCTCCTGTGGGACCCAAAACAGCCTTGGAAGGCTCTTCGGCGGCCCACGACGGACCCAAGACGGCCTTCCTCTTCCTCTTTCTTCTCCTCCTCCTCCTCCTCCTCCTGCTCCTCCTTCTGCTCCTCATCCACCTCCTCCTCCTCCTCCTCCTCCTCCGCCTCCTCCTCCTCCTCCTCGTCACCATCGTCACAATCCTCCTCCTCCTCCTCCTCCTCCTCCTC